GGAGATGGAGAGGGGGGCAGGGGACAGACAGGGAAGGGGGGTTCTAGCACGGTGTCGCATTGATTGAACACAGGTAACAATTGTTGGTGTGTGGGAAGAGGGCGACGATATTGTGGGAAGATCTCTCACCTGAATAACTTCGTGCGGCTCCGCGGGAGGACGATCGGAAGAGGAAACTTCTGGGTTTCTGGGTCACAGAGGAGTCTGGAACAGACACACACACACCGCTCAGTGACACAGAAGCAGGAAATGAGGGAGAAGCTCAATGTATAGCCAGTGAGGAAATTGATGAACTGCACACATAATATTCCCCGGCACGCCATCCTATTACCACCAATGTAATGTTCCTGGACGATTGCGGGAGACGTACCTGAGGGCTGCGAGGGAGGAGAGATGGGCGTACCGATGCTGGCCTGACTTCCCTGCATGGAGAACAAAGAGGAAACGATGAGGAGAACACATTACGACAGTTTCTTCTTCTGCAGCGGCTGATTGGCAGTGCATCAAACATGTGACCTGTGCTTGTATGAATCATGTCACCTGACACCCATGTCACCTATCCCAGAAGGCAGCGGTGTCCCCATGGCACAGGAAGTGGCATCTGGCACGTCATCAGGGGGCTGGCGGCAAGAGCCAGGAGGAGGCAGCCGGCTCCTGATGGGGGAAGAAAACGAAGATGGCGACGTGGGATGGGACGCGCGGCAGGAGAGTGACGGGGCGAGGAAAGGACAGTGCGGGATTCGTTGGGTTTGCAAGCAAAGGTCATCTGGGGAATATTTTTTGTCATCATGGGCAGGATTTCCCACAAGGCCACCGAGGCCCGGCCTCGGGGCGGCAGCGGTGTGGAGTCCACCGACGCTCGGAACATACAGTTCCGGGCGCCGGGCGGGTAAGTTGCCTTGTGGGGAATCCGCTCGTACGTTTACAGGTGATCGCGGCGATGTCGCCGCAATCACTTGTAAAATCTGTGCAGCCTGTTCGTCCTCCCCCCACTTACCTCTCTCCTCACTTGCCGTCGATGTGGGGAGCAGAGGGGCAGGGTTAAAAGTAACCCTGCCGCTCCGTGTAGACTGTAGACAGTGAGAGGGGAGAGCTGTGCTGTGCTGTGCTGCGCTGCGCTCTTCCCGTCTCACCTGTCACAGGAGTTCCAGCGCAGCGCTGTGCTAGAACTCCTGTATTGGAGGTGACAGGTTCAATAAAGAGAACCTGTCACCTCCAAATGATATCACACAGGGGATTGTTAGCTAGCTCCTGTGTGATAGCAATAAAGTTAAGTGAAAAAATTAAATTACAAAAATAAGAAATAATAATTAAAGTAAAACATAAGAAAAAAATTATTAAAAAAAGAAAGAAAATAACTATAAAAAATAAATAATAAAGATAAAAAAATGTAAAAAAATA